GTGTGTGTGTGTGTGTGTGTGTGTGTGTGTCTAACACGTTGTTTTCTCAGAATCCATGATCTTTGGGCCCATGATAGCAAAAAATCGATTGATGACAAAACGTCAAAATGATACTTGCGTTGTAAAGACATCTTGAAATAAGGTAATACGTATAATTTTTTTCGAAAATGTGAATAGTTTTTGCATAATTTTACATAAAATACTTGCAATTTTTAAAAGTTTAAATTTCCTCTAAAAACGGCTCGGATTGTTGTCTTTACATTTTCTTATCCTATTTATGAAAATACAATAAAAAATACGATGCTGGTCTCTTTTCTGACGAAATTTGTATTTTTGAAAACTGCAAAAACCTAACATTTCAAAACTACAAAATTGTAGACAAACTTTGCCTTAAAGTCTGTCTGTCCAAAAAGTCAGCTCTTGAGAAAAGGTCAACAAAAGTCAAATATACAAACTTTTTGAAAAAATACGTGTTTTACGTGTTTTGTGCTTGAAATTATTGGTATTTGTAAAGAAAAACGTTTTCTCAAAACCCATTTCAAGTTTTAATGTTTATTCTGGGATATCTATATAATAGCCATATAATAGCTATATAATACGAGTAGCTATGTCAAATTCAGCCTAAATGTCTAAAGAAGAATTACAGCGACCGGCTGCTCTGATCGGTAGTTTTTCCTATCAAAACCAGATGAATGCTGAAGTAGTGCAAACGGGCCACTGACCGCATGCGATCTTTCCGACCTCAACCCCGATCCGCCCTACCTCACCCGTGGGCAGACCAATGTGGACCTCTGAGCTCGTCCCGGCTGGGCGGTGCCCTGCTGTGGAGAGATCTAGATGGGGATATCTCCTGAACGCAAACATGTTGGGCGGCGGCAAATATCACCATCTAGGGGGGGAGTAGCGCCGCCGCCCGGGATAAAATCATTTACTGCACTACTGGCTGCAGCAGTTGACCATTCCTCAACCAATGGGTGTCTACCGTGATTTCGCCGCGTGTTGAGTCGCTGGCGCCGCTCGCAGCGCTCGCGGGCGCCGAGTGGATGATCCAGCCCGCCTCCTCGGAGAACACGCGCCCGCGGCGCTCGCCGCTCGCTCGCTCGGGCCGCCCCCGCCTGGCTGCGGCCGAAGCCACTGGCCCCCGCGTGCCTAATCGACACACGCAGCGCGAAGGGCGGGTGAGACAGGAACTGTGCACCCCCGCAAGATGAAGCTGTAATAAAACTCTCAAACAGTATTCAGTGGTGATTAAACAATTCTTTTCTGATGGTACACATTGTAGTTTCAGAGAGCGTTCGTGAAAAGTTTGAAAATATTTCATTGAATAACTTGTACGATAGAATATTTGTAAATATTTGTTGACTTAAATATTTATTTTAATATCTATTACTTTAAAATCTAAACTAACTTCACCTGACGTCCTATTTGCTGAAGCTGTCAATGTGGGAAATATAAAGAAATTGAATGTTGTCGGTATCTTCTCTTAAAAATTGATCTCTTAGTTCTAAAAGAATAGTAATGAAATTTCATTTCAATAGAAGTTTTGTAAAAACTAACAATTTTCAAAATAAGATTGTAAGAATTTTTTTTAATATATATTCAATAATATATTTTAATTGTGATAGAATTATTCATGCATGAATAGTTTAGCAGAATAAATATAAAAGAAACCATTCATTCAAATTAATGTAGAAATCAATTTTTCTGTTTGAAAATTTAAAGCTAACGAAAATTATACATACACTTCATGAATTCAGATTAAAGAAACAAATGTGTTTTTATAATTCGAATTAATAGTCCATTCAATTAAGAACTTCCATATTTTTTATCAAAAATCGTAAAGAAAATCTGAGAAAGTATCCGTGTAACCGACTATCTATTGGATGAAATTAGACCTGAATTTGACCTTGATTCTATGTGACAAAAGTAATCTACATTCTCATTCATGGAAAGAAAGGTCGATGACTACGAGCCGTTGATTCCTTCCAATATATAGTGACTCTTACATTAAGACATTTCATAAAATTCTTAGATTTTCGTAAGGGTAGAAAAATTCTTGAAGTTTCTTAATTAATAAATTGAGTTTGTAATAATGCGTTGATTTTCAGTCTAATCACTTGAAAAAGATCAAAACTTAGTTAAATTGTTTGAAAATATCACATAATGTTTAATTAAAACCATCAGATAATAACTGTTCAAACACTTAGCATCAAAGTACATCACATTAGAAACACAGTAAAGGCATATCGTGTACAACAGTATATTACAGCACTGAAAACTGCAGCTGTAGCCAAAGTTAGCAAGTAAATGTTTCGCACTGGGGCTTCCATTCTTCGACAATTGCAGTTTTTTATAGACCAATTAGATATCTAACCCTTCAGTTTCTAGGTCCTTATTTATACCCTCTGATGATACACTCTTTGGTCCAATTATTTTATATGCAGACGTTTACTAAGATTATTTAACACATTGTGAACAGATTTTGTCACTTCTTCGGAAGTCTGTCAGCATCTAGGTAGAAGATTGCCCAATAATACACAACACAAATAATAATTGACACTCCAAAATTTACACAAAATAAATAAATATGATCATATACTTACTCAAAATGAAACAACTTAATAATAAGTATCCTTTAATGCCATACACATTTTTAGTGGAATATAAAGAAATCCTAAGTGATTTCTGTAATCCAGGAGAGAAGAGTACAATATTTACCATATTTAATTGATTGTTGATTTAATTTGGGTAGAGGAATACCAGCGTCCAGGTTTTATTGAAATCGAGCAGCTTAAACTACTCACGTATTATCTGAACAAAAATTAAAATTCTGACTTGCAAAGTACGTAGGACTTGTAAATGAGAAATAAATGAAGACCTGCTAGTTGTTTTCTTGCAACCCAATACTTTACGTGCAATTATAGTGTTGGAGCCAACTAAAACCTTTTCTCGTAAAATTTAAAATCATAATAAAGCAGTTGCTTGCTCACAATCTCATTCGTGAGTAAACAGTTTATATTGTAGTTTCTCTGACAGGATCTGTTTTTCTAGTTAGATAGTGGGCCTTGACCTTCATTTATCCTTGTAATGAGTAACACTTCCGGTCGATTTACATATCGACCAGGACAATGAAGCACCAGTGGCCCATTCGATATTTACACATTTACCCGTTTCATGTATTCGGCAATAAAAAGGCTCATTTCGTGAAACTGGCA